CTCGATTCAGCTAAAGTGAGAGAGACAGACACCCGCCAACCACCTTTAAGCACGAGTGCTCGCAACGGTGAAACCAGTCTCGCGTAAGCGTATGCGTAATGTCGGTCCGGGCCGCTTCATCTCACAATACCGCCGAACCAAAGTATGACATGCTGGTAAGCAGTATGACTTGTATCGCCCACAACTCACTTGTGTTCTACTCGTGCATATAACATCAACGCATAAAACCTAGGCTCGGATGCCACTGTTGGGGAACGTAGTAATTTCAAAAATTTCCTACGCACACGCAAGATCATGGTGATGCATAGCAACGAGAGGGGAGAGTATTGTCCACGTACCCTCGTAGACCGTAAGCGGAAGCGTTATGACAACGCGGTTGATGTAGTCGTACGTCTTCACGATCCGACTGATCCAAGTACCGAACGTACGGCACCTCCGAGTTCAGCACACTTCAGCTCGATGACGATCCCCGGACTCCGATCCAGCAAAGTGTCGGGGATGAGTTCCGTCAGCACGACGGCGTGGTGACGATGATGATGTTCTACCGGCGCAGGGCTTCGCCTAAACTCCGCGACGATATGACCGAGGTGGAATATGGTGGAGGGGGGCACCGCACACAGCTAAGGAACGATCTTCAAGATCAACTTGTGTGTCTATGGGGTGCCCCCCGCCCCCGTATATAAAGGAGCCAGGGGGGAGGAGGCGGCCGGCCAAGGAGGGCGCGCGAAGGGGGGAGTCCTACTCCCACCGGGAGTAGGACTCCCTTCTTTCCTAGTTGGAATAGGAGAAGGGGGGAAAGAGGAGGAAGAGGGGAAGGAAAGGGGGGCGCCGCCCCCCTTCCCTTGTCCTATTCGGACTAGGAAGGGGAGGGGCGTGCGGCCCCCTCCTGCCTCCTTCCCTCTTCTCCCTCGAGGCCCATGTAGGCCCAATAACACCCCGGGGGGTTCCGGTAACCTCCCGGTACTCCGGTAAAATGCCGATTTTACCCGGAACAATTCTGATGTCCAAATATAGGCTTCCAATATATCGATCTTTATGTCTCGACCATTTCGAGACTCCTCGTTACGTCCGTGATCACATCCGGGACTCCGAACAATCTTCGGTACATCAAAACTTATAAACTCATAATAAAACTGTCATCGTAACGTTAAGCGTGCGGACCCTACGGGTTCGAGAACTATGTAGACATGACCTAGAACTATTCTCGGTCAATAACCAATAGCGGAACCTGGATGTCCATATTGGTTCCTACATATTCTACGAAGATCTTTATCGGTCAAACGGCATAACAACATACGTTGTTCCCTTTGTCATCGGTATGTTACTTGCCCGAGATTTGATCGTCGGTATCCAATACCTAGTTCAATCTCGTTACCGGCTAGTCTCTTTACTCGTTCCGTAATGCATCATTCCGTAACCAACTCATTTGGTCACATTGCTTGCAAGGCTTATAAAGATTTGCATTACCGAGAGGGCCCAGAGATACCTCTCCGACAATCGGAGTGACAAAACCTAATCTCGAAATACGCCAACTCAACATGTACCTTCGGATACACCTGTAGTACTCCTTTATAATCACCCAGTTACGTTGTGACATTTGGTAGTACCCAAAGTGTTTCTCCGGTAAACGGGAGTTGCATATTTCTCATAGTTACAGGAACATGTATAAGTCATGAAGAAAGCAATAGCAATATACTAAACGATCAAGTGCTAGGCTAACGGAATGGGTCATGTCAATCACATCATTCTTCTAATGATGTGATCCCATTAATCAAATGACAACACATGTCTATTGTTAGGAAACATAACCATCTTTGATTAATGAGCTAGTCAAGTAGAGTCATACTAGTGACTATATGTTTGTCTATGTATTCACACATGTATCATGTTTCCGGTTAATACAATTCTAGCATGAATAATAAATATTGATCATGATATGAGGAAATAAATAATAACTTTATTATTGCCTCTAGGGCATATTTCCTTCAGTTTGTGTCCCAATATGTTTTCTAGCCATGTCCGCGTTGTACATGAAGGTCTAGCTAAGGGCTTGTTCGGAGACTCGCTAGCTTCTCCAAAACTTCTCGTATCCAGCTTCTAACCTGACTTCTCACTTCACGTAGAGTGCACCAAACCGTTCTGGAGCCTCGCTAGCTTCTTCGAGCGCCTGAGTGAGCTGGCAGCCCAGCTGGGGCGGTGAAGCCCAGGTTCTTGCCACCTTGGGCCGGCTGGAAGAAGCCCATTTTTGGCTCAAGTGCACACAGGCCAAAAAAAAGAAAGAAATGAGTTGGGCCTGGTTTCCTGGGGTGAATGGCTGGGCATATTTTTTTCACTGGAGATAAATTATGCGATTTCTAGTTGTACAGAGAGGTGTAGAGAGAACATTTCTGTAGTAAAGTAGTGTTCCAAATATAGCCGAAACGTATTTTTGGACATGCCACAAATATTTCAAGTTAAGACAACTAGACAAGTCATAATAATGACGAATAACTAGTTTTGTTATATGTCATACAACAAAAGTTTCTGTAGTAAAGGAGTTTCATTTGCATAAGTTTGCAAATCAAAATGGTCTCACATCTAAAGACATGAACATTGCGGTAGCTAGTTCATGTCTATACAGCGGCAACGTTGCGGTCCTCCTCAGCGTGTGCCCCCAACCTTGGCTCCGCGTGCTCCTCTACAGCACCTTGCCACCGGCTGCACGGCGCTGCTGCCTTCATTGTGCTGTTACATGGAAGGACACATATTTTTGTTATGTTAAAAAGAAACAATTCTGATCAAAGAAAATTATCTGGTCTGATATACTACTAGGATCAGTAGTCTATCCTCAACAGTGCCCCTTAACTATTCAGCAGGAATTCAGCATGTAATAACAGCAACAATGCTGCCTCATGTAATATCTGAACTTTGAAGCTGCACACATATCTGAATCTTTTTGCACTCACATTAACAGTACGTACAGTACACCATAGGAAAGAAGACAGACGATCCCACATTGCGCTTTGGGCGACGGGCTTGGTCGTCGGGATGCTCTTCCTTGCTCACCAGCGCTGCTCCTCGCTGAGCTCCTCCTTCCCCCACCGGCGCTGCTCCTTGCTGGCATCAATGGTGTGGGGGTGAGCTCCTCCTTCCCCCACGGCGCCGTTCCTCGCTGACGGCGGTACTCGTGGCTGTGAGGACGGGAATCGGTGAGGAACTAGCTGGGACGGCCGGATCTGGAGTCGATGGAGAGAATCCGGCCGGCGACCGAGGGGGACGGGCGTGGCGGCGGGACGACGGCGCTGAGGGTTTCCAGAGGGAGAACGCGAGGGGCAGGGGAGATATGACCGAGCGGTTCGTGCGTGTCTGTTCGAGCGAGCGAATCGTTTTCCTTAGCGGTGGCAATCTGTTTGTAAATAAGGGGGAACTCCAGATTCTTCAAAACGTGGAGCTGGGTTTCCTTTGCTTCACAAATTTGCACTACCGGCCCATCTCAGCTTTGGGAATTTAACTTCTAGAAGCTAAAGCGTTCGGGTCAACTTCAAACGAGAAGTTTGTGGAGTTGAGAGTTGGAGGAGTTCAGAACAGGCCCTAAGTACGACTAGAGCTCTTGTACGGCTAAGTTTAGTCGGTTGATGCATATATATGTGCATCTGGGTCGTGAGTCTTGTAGAACAACATGGAACACCGTGTGAAGAAAAGGAGAAAATAAAAAGAGGAAAAAGAGAGAGGCACGACACGTGATTTTGGCAAAAGTTTTTGCGTGCGCGTGTTCATCGTACTGTCATGTGATCGATCCTGTGGGTGAAATTCCAACAGAGTTGCACCGAAGCGCTCGTCGACACCGCAGCAGGCGTCCAAACGGTCAACTATGTGCAACGAATTTGACAAAATTCATTCAAAATAGCTTCAAACATGAACAGAAAATTAAGCATTTACGGTCGACGAAACTACAAACCGATCGCCTGAATGAAACCATAAGATCGATGTGCATCTTTTTTGTGTAGAGCTTATCTCAAAAACCGAAGTATCGTTGTGTAGATCGGAAGTGAGAAGGAAGAAGAGGATTAAAGAGAAGATTACTGAAGGTAGGAGAAGATAGCATGTACAGGGTGTATACTAGACCGCATCCTCTTGTGCAAGAGGACCCACCAAATGTGCTGGAGATGGCTCGATTCAGCCTGGCTCATTGTAAACGGCCGATTTGGCCATTCCTAGCGGGTCTGGCTGAGGAGTGCTTTAAGTTTCGTGCAGATCAACATTTGTATGTGACCTATAACCAACCAATAGCCCGAAAACACCTCGCGCGGGCCTGGCTAGGCCTAATGCAGACAACCAAATGCATCCGTGGTGAATATCGGCCGAGGCCGGAATATGGCACGATCATAGACACGAAATCAAATCCAAAACAGCAAGTTTTATGTAAGTTTTCTTTTAAGAGCAGTTCCCTGCCATGGCTAGAGTATGGTTCATAGATCTCAGAGTATCAGAGATTACAGTGGAGTGTTACAGCAGGGAAAGAGGCTTGGAGAAGAAGAAGATCAGAGAATAAGATCTCAGTGGATACAAATGATCAACGATACCCACACCTACACACGCAACGGCTAATATAGCTGAGTACGATGGGCCGGCCCCTCGGCCCACTCAATTCGTCGACATAAGGACGTACACGACGACTCCGATATCGCACTCGTTCGTAGTCAAATTTCTACGCGCCGCATTGCTAGAACCTATGGTGCAGATAGATACAAGAGCCCTGTGCGTGTGGTCTGTACTTGGCCGACTTTCAAGTTTCATTGCTGTCCTCAGGACGCGCAGGACCTGACCGGCCGCTGTCATTTCGGCCGCAAACGCGCGACGCACAGCTGACTGTGGAGAAGCTGACTTGGGGACGACTTGCCATGCATCTCCATGGCGGCTCCTCTGTGAACCACGAGCCCGTTGCCAGACACTTTCAGCCATTCGCCGTGCATATATTCGCGTCCTCGCAGACCGGGTGACCTGACCGGGATAGTCAGTCGATGGACCTCGGGCATCACTCCATCCAGCTCAGTGCGGGTCCTGGCTCGCCGGCTGGCGCGATGCCGGTGACGCCGCAGCCGGGCGATGGCGGCACGATGAGCCCCGAGCTGTACCTTGCCCTGTGCCGGGGGAGAAAGAAGGAAGCCATGGCGCTGCTTCGGCAACAGCACGGTGGCGCCGCCGCCGCCGCTAATCAGGTTGCCGGTAATGTCTGCCTTAACTGCTAGTCTGCTACTCTTTATTCTTTTTTTTGGCGCATATAGTCTGCTACTAGCTGGATCTCCGGTCATCCTTGTGCATGCGTAATTGTCACTGACATGTTTTCGTACCTAGTGAAATAACTGAGATTTACGAATCTCATGTGAAATTTCATTCAAACTAGGAACACTTGTTTTTTTAGGGAGGGAGCCCAGAATACCAGCATTTTATTCAACGGGATTGCTAAGTCTCACATCCATGCTATATTCGTGGATCTTACATCAAGATACGTGTATTTTTTTTTGTTATTTTGTTCTTACATGTTTTCTTTTGAACACAGTACAGACCACACGCTCATATATAAATACACCTTATGAATACACACGCACACTCTACCTATATGGGCACCTCCGAGAGACTACGCCAACATATATCCTTGAGCTCTTTTACAGCACCCTCAAACTAACATAGGCCGTTCATTCCTCCTAATCCAATGGTTTATATTACCTGGTACTCTAGTTCTAACGTTAGAGTACCACCACAAAAAAGAAGGGAGTACCGTGACCTGAGGATTAAAATAGTAATTTGACAATGTACCTAATTTCCTAATACTAAGTTCATGCGCAATTTCTGTGGTGGCAATGAGCCGGCTATTCGGCCGCCGGCGGGAATGGTTGGGCAGCCACATGCTCCGAGCGCTGAAGCCACAACCTGCATGCCCGTAGGCATGAATGCAATAGAGCCATGGCCGATGCCCGATGGAGCCGCAGATTACGCAAGAAATTTCTGCGCAGATCATCATCTTCCTCGTCTGAATTCGTTTTAAGAAATTCTTTCCCATCTGAATCTCCTGAGCGACAATCCTTTCCCATCCGAATCTTCCGCGAGAAATTTCTGTGCAGATCAGCATCTTCCTCTTCTGATAATCTATAATTAATCCCTAAATTAAATCTTTCTGACGGGGACAGTTATGCAATCCAGACGGAATTCTGTCGTTGATGGAAACTGCACACTACAACAGGTTTGTTCGCCTCAAATTACCATACATCCTACGGGGATCAATGTTCTGTTTTTTGAAGAAACACGTGATTGATTTGTTACTGGTCGCACGGTGATGAAAGTGCCTCCAGCGGCGGCTGCGCGGCCGCATGCGCTTGATTAGGCTAGTGGATTAGGGAACCTAGATTAAAGATGAAAAAACAATACTTCTTTAGCAGGAGAAAGGACTAAACTAACCCTGCAAACCAACGGATGAATTTGATCGGTACTCCCACTCTACTCTAGGGAGTACCAAGGTACCGTAAAAAACCTCATATCCTTAAGATTGACGAAGTCACCAAAAGGCGTCTTGTAGTTGATGGGAATGTCTCCTCCCACTAAACGCACCACTAGTTGAAAAGGGGGCATCAGTCCCGGTTCGTGAGGGCCTTTAGTCCCGGTTTTTGAACCGGAACTAAAGGGTCGTGACTAATGCCTCCCCCTTTAGTCCCGGTTCTAACACGAATCGGGACAGATGTGCCTCCACGTGGCCGGTGCGCCGAGCCCAGGCAGGAGGGCCTTTGGTCCCGGTTGGTGGCACCAACCGGGACCAAAAGGCATCCACGCG